CATTCTTTATGTTCTCGTTGCCGAATAGTGCCGGATAAGGTTGAGTGACCTGAAATAGTGTTTCCGAAGGATCTGCTATCTCAAAGTCGGTCCACTAAATAGCACTCGTGATGGTGGCCAAAATGGCGAGCTACACGCCAAGGAAAATAGTCGCAGCAAGGACTTCTACGGTTGTATAAAAACAATCATTGCTATACTCTAACAAATTAGATGCATACTAAATTTATTTGACGCTGCTTGCCACTCTCAAGATGTCGTCTTCCAACAAGCCTAAACAGGCCGTCCACGGCAACATTGTCCAAGAAGCTATCAATCCAGATGTCAATCAAGCTGCGGAGAAGCCAAAATCATGGAAGACCTATTTCTGGGACTCGTGGGACTGCAGCCCCGAAGTACGACGTCACACTCAACCTTGGCTAATTGAGATAAAAGTTGACAAACATGAACGCAGGAACGCAAACTTATTCTCAAGCTGGACCTCACATTGATGACATTCGGCTGCCTTGGTACTTTCATCAAATATCTCGACAAGTGTGTGGACCAGAGATTTCTCACTCATATACTTCCACTGACACGTTTAGGTCGAATTTACAAAGTGCTTTTGTTAGTGGTATGAAGGAAGACTTGTCGCTATATGGAAATGTCAGTTTGACATCAAATATCGATCACGCATAAAGTAGGAGAGACTGATGTAAAGTAGGAGCTGAACTACGCCAACACCGCCTACTCAATTGCCAATGTGAGCAGCTGTCCTGGCACTCTATCCTCAAGTGCTAATACATTGGCTAGATTATCGGGCTTTGGCCCAGCAATTTGATTTTGACGAGAGTGAACCCAAGATGGTTTATTCCATTTCTAGAGATTGGATGGACCATAATCACCTTTCTCCAATCAGTCATGAAAACACCTCAACAGATGTATGCTTTGAGAGCGATTCTTGCCATTTTTGAAACAGGCCACTACTCAGCAATCGTATACCTCTGCGGCGCGTGGTATAAGAAAGAAGAATTGGCGAAAAGATTGGCGCTTATCAATATCACCACCGCCATTGGACCAATGTTCTCGAGCTACCTACAAGCTGCAGCTTACACGGGACTCAATGGTGTTCACGGAAAAGCAGGTTGGCAGTGGCTCTTCATTATCGATGGTACGTTCGCAACATGCCAAACTATCGGAGCATTTTCTCACATTATCGCAGGGGTGATCTCTCTCGGTATCATAGTTCCGCAGATCCTGTTCTATCCGGATGTTCCTTCTCGTCAAAAGCCTGATCGCCTGTTTACAGAGAAGGTTGGTAGTTTTCTGGGAAGTCCTGAAGCTGTACTAGGATATTGACAATGCACAGGAAATTGAGCTTGGAAGAGACCGTAATCCGAGAGAAGGTAGAGTGAAACAAGGCGCCTTCACTCTGAAGCAAATTAAGCGCTGGTTCCTGACTCCAGACATTGTATGTGTTTACAAAATCATACCGATTGAATAAATGACTAACGAGTTGGTAGTGGCTGCTTTGGATCATCTCTTTGTGAGTCACACGACTTGGTCATTCTACACAATATTGACGTTTCTAGCGCAAATGCTGTGGTAGATCAGCCTATGAATTCAATGGCTTTTTGGCTTAAGCAATGGAATATTGTAAAGCCTGGGTCTTATACAGTCCCCCAGATCAGTAAGTCATGTTCTCTTGCGTAGGTGTCTTTCTAATCACGATTTCAGATAATTACACAACCCCCGTCCAGGCCGTCACAGTAGTTGTCACCCTGTTCATGGCATGGTGTAGTGACAGCTGGTTGCGAGGTCGCAGATGGCCTATGCTTGTCCTGGGTAGTAGTGTCACTGCCGTTGTGGACATAGTACTTGCGACCACCTCTGTATTCCCGGAACATCGTGCCGGGAGGTGGTCGCTATACTACCTAACAGGCTTCTGTCAGGCCAGCAACTCCATGTTCTGGGCATGGACGCAGGACACCTTGGCTGGAGACCCGGCAACGCGCGCATTTGCATCGGCCGGTTTGAATGTCTGGGCATCCCTTTCGCATGCAGTAATCCCACTAGGTCTCTTCAAGACAGTGGACCAGCCAGCTGTCGTGGCCGGAAACTATGGCGCCTTCGGTTTCTCAGTCCTGCATTCTCTTACATCAATAGCTCTAGCTTATACCCAGCATCAACGTGGACGACAAAGTATCACGGAGGCCGAAGAAACAAGTGATGCCGAGAGGACCGAAGGAGATCCAAAGGTGGTTCAAGTGGCAGAGAGAGCCGTGTAGACTAATGTTGGCCATCATAGATGGTGCGTGCCGAAGCCCACACCCACCGTGCGAGTTGCGTTCGATCTATACTCGCGGGACAATAGCGTATATAGCCATACAACGACACGATAGAGGTTACAGGAGACGACTGCTTTAATAAGCCTAAGCGGCATCAAACATATCCCACAAGCTTGGAAACAAGTCGTCAACACTGGGCATGTTGGCCATCCACAGCTCCTGGAAGTCGGGAACGGCGTCTGATGGCTCTGCCGCGGTAGTTGTCAGTTTCTCCAGAACATCAGAGTACTGTGCAATGCAAATATCCCCAAGATCCCAGCCTACCCGTTGCCTATGTGAGCGCAACGCCGTGACCATGTCGTGAGCCAACTTCAGAGAGATACTGTCTGCTAGTCCAGCGGGTCCACTCTCGCTTTCTAGAGCACACCTCAGCAGGAATGTGACTGTGCTAGATAGTATGAAGCAGCTCAGTGTCAGCCAAAAGTCACCTAGAGCTCTATCGTCAAGCTCTTGAATGAGTAAAACGATGTCCTCTGCTGCTCGGCGGACTTGTGCCTGGCGATTCCGCAAGTTGATGGGGCTATTACTGTCACCATTCTTTTCGTTATCTAGCTCAAGCTTTTGGCCAAGAAGCTTGATATATAGATAAGCAAGTCGCAAGTTGGAAGAGCCTGGGATATCAAGGCCCACACCTCGGAGAATCACCCTCCTTAATTCCCCAGGTAAAGAGTCTTCCCACTGAGTGAGTCGACTTTCCAAGTCAAGATCCGTCGTGCGCCGAAGGAGATCACCACCCTGTTTAAGGAGAAACACATGCTCCAAGTAAACGTCCAGAATCTTCGTGAGGGTAATGAGACCCACAAACACGGCGGCAGCTCCAGGGTCGTGCGTGTCTTCGTGAGGGGCGTAAATGTCTATTGGGTCAGGAATTGGGACGTCGTGTTGAGTGTCTCTTAGGTGCGGCGGTGTCCCATAGGCAACACTCGACCTGACAAAATTAGTGAGTAGACCGTCGACAGTCACTACTTTCTTGACTTACCATTTGTCATAGATAAAGATTGCCCACCAAATCCTAATTCTGAGACACTTCTCTGCAGTAGAGATATCCCAACCGAGGCAGTTGCGATTAAGCCCAAGCGAATGCGCAAGAGATATGGCTGAGCCAAGCAACACACCATTACCTAAAAGCGAAGTTAATGGGCGGCCACTGACATTTAACAAGATAGCGATGACAGTTGATATTCCAGGCGAGAGGTGGAGCTCCGAGTAGAGCGCCTCGTTTGCTTGGTTCCATATGAATCGGATGTCTGGGCAGTGGTGGCCAGAAGACTTCAGAGACTGTCGCCAAAACACCATGGTGTGTGCGTAAAGGCATGATAAAAGAGTAGGTGATATCTGGTCTTTTTCGGTAAGATACTGGCTTTTGAGTAATGCTTTGTCTAGTATCGGAAAACATTCGTACACCTGATCGAAGTATCTACAAGAATTAGCTTGACGATAAACCATTTCCCGCAACTGCAAAGCACACTAACAGATCTATCAAATCGGCACAGAAGGGGTCGATAAGCTTCTCTATCATTTGGCATTTCAAAGAAGCAGTGGTCTGACTGATCGAGGTTCCTAGGGGACGTCTCCGAACAGCGCTGAACATTATAGGCTTTTGTCCGGCTGCCGACTCTCCCGGACGAGGCCGTACCAATTGAGCCACTCCCACATCGCCGCTTGGATTGTTCGATAGGTAGCTGGTGATCAGCTGTGTATCAGGGCTCAGTACTGGACCGATAACATGGGACTCTTCTTCGCCGCCCCCAAAAGGTACGACAGTATTTGAGAAAGGTGTTTCCGGCAATGTGGAGATGGGTATCGCACGTGCAGGATATCGTTGCTCGTGTGGGTTGAGAGTCCTGCGAGGGACTTCTGGTTGACTCCTTCTATGTGCAGCTTGTTGGGGCTCCACTGCTTCTGCCCGAGAATTGTTAGCTAAGACTGAAGACGTGGTTGCATGTCTCGATCTCAGGCGACTGCCCCGGATTGCGCGGGGAGTCCGCGCTGCCTCCTCCTGAGTTCCGGGAAACTTGCAGTCGGTGCCATGGAGACGACACATCAAGCATCCCGAGGCCTCCGCGGCATCAATCTTGCACCGAGACTTTCGTTTCCTGCAGGGGATACATGCAGGCCGCAAGTGAGACCGGTACGGCCGTTCTCCTCCCGGAGGTGACGCCGACATCATCAATGAAAGACTCGATCAAAGACGCGTTGTGCCAATGCCACCATGTCACTGTTCGTCTCACAGCCAAAGTCTGAAGCACATTGCTAACGCGTGATAGAACCTGAAGTGCGAGTCGAAAGAGTTTTCCGCGATCAAAGTTTTCCGCCCCGCGGGAAGGAATGGTGGCCGCGGAGTGGAGCCGGAAAAGATAAGGGAGCTCTGCCGCACCGGCATAGCGATAAGCTAGTGGGTCTACCTCCGCTCGGCGTGCGTTTGGCGCGGATCCAAGGCCGCTGGCGCTGATATGAGGCGAGGGAGTCGAATGTCTCTCCAGATCTGGCCCCGACACTGTGACTGCTTATCACTTCTCCACTCAATGGCTCCTGGTACTTGTCCTAAGGATTGTTTTGTTGTGAGGTCTACATAAGGCCAGCCTGGGACAACCACAGCACAACACTCTCCACATTGCTGAAACCATCAGCGCTGCATTGATCATTCAAGTTGCGTTCGAAAACAAACTTTTCACAATGGCCGAGCGTAGAAGCACTGAGCTGCCGCAGGGCCAAGTCCAGCCGGAAAAGGGCTCTGAAATTGAGCTTGACTCGAAGACCCAGCCCAACGACACCGTCGACGTTGAGGCAGACCTCAAGAATGGAGTCACAGTCGACATTGACGAAGCAGAGCTCTTCCTCCAGCAGCATGGAATTCCACACTCTCGTCTTAATGAGCTCATGGAAGACGAGGCTGCACTGAAGAAACTTCGCCGCAAAGTGGACTGGACTCTAATGCCCCTTCTATGCGGCACTTACCTTTTGCAATATGTCGACAAGCAAGCCCTGGGTTATTCGGCAGTTTTTGATCTTTTTACATCAACTGGCATGACGAGTGATCAGTATAGCTGGATGGCCTCGATATTCTACTTTGCATACCTGGTTGCTGAGTGGCCTGCATCATACCTGGCCCAGAAGCTTCCCACCGGCACTGTTGTCAGCGTCTTCGTCATATCTTGGGGAATTATTCTTCTTTGCACTGCAGCAGCCCAGAATTTCGCTGGTCTTGCTGTTTGCCGCTTTCTTCTCGGGATGTTCGAGGCGGTTATCACGCCGGCTTTCATGTTGATCGTTAGTCAGTGGTATACCCGCGACGAACAACCAGCCAGAGCAGGATTATTTTACTGTTTCAATGGATTCGGCTCTATGTTTGGAGGGGTGCTTTTCTTCGGAATTGGTCAAGCAAAGGGCTGGGACGTGTGGAGAATCATCTATGTCTTTACAGGAGGCTTGACGGTGGTTTGGGGAGTCGTCCTTTACTTCTTCCTACCCAGCAACATCCTTACAGCTAAGCGATACTCTGTGGAGCAACGCGCCATGCTAGTTGCTCGAAGCGCGAGTAATAACACTGGTATTTTGAGCCGGAAGATTAAGCCAGCACAGATCAAGGAGGCTCTCTGCGATACGCAAGTGTGGCTGCTATTTTTCTATACTCTTCTCAACGAGTGCATCAACGGAGGCATTGCCAACTTTTCTAAACTCATTGTTAAGGGCTTCACTCATGATGCTCTTCTTACGACCGTGTACGGTATTCCATACGGTGCATGCACGGCGATTTTTATGTTCACAGGACCTTACCTTGCTAGTAAGGTAAAGAACGTTCGAACAATCGTCATGATTGTTTGGTTGATACCCACACTCATTGCCGTGTGTCTATTTTGGAAACTAGAACGAACAAACAAGGGAGGGCTGCTTGCTGGTTACTACCTGGTAATTTCCCTCCTACTCTTACTGTGGTTACAATAACACTAACATTGATACCAGTGCGCCTCCTTTGTCGGTTCCCTCATTGTAGCTTTGCAGATGCCAGCATCCAATGTCGGCGGCTACACAAAGCGTACAACTGCGACAGCATTCGTCTTCCTTGCCTACTGTATTGGCAACATCATTGGCCCTCATGCTTTCCTCGGATCTGAGGCGCCGATATATCAGACGGGTTGTAAGCTGATCATTGGATGCATTGGAGGACAAGCTGCTATTGCACTCGTGTTACGTTACGTGTTGATTCGTAGAAACAAGCTTCGGGATGCTCAAGGCGACGCGGCGATGTTTGCAAGTCAGACAGATGCTTTGCAGGATTTGACAGACTTTGAGAACCCGACCTTCCGGTACTCTTATTAGACATTTGGCAGGTCAGGGGTACGGACTGCAAGCTGGTGCTCGATTTAGGGGAGTAGGATGACGGAGGTGTTTTGCAGGTTGAGTGGGCGAGCTCTATAGTCTACTTCTTAAGTAAATAATATACAATGATGCTATTATCACAATCAGGCGTCAATGTCATCTGGTGAAATTATGCGGTCCTTGGTGACTTTGAAGTGGAACAATACATATTGATTTCATTATCGTCTAATCTAATCATCATGATGCATATTAGTATCTTTCCTTTATTTCCGTGGCATCAAATTCTCCGCCACGATCCTGGGGCCGCTTTATAAATATCCGGGTTATCGGTTAGTTGCAAGGCCCGTTGTCGTATCCGACGTTGCATATTTATCTAAAATCAAGAGTTCATTCTTATCCAAAATTGCGCCTTCTCCCTGATGTACTCCTTCTTTGTAGCACCTAATGAGATTTAGTTCGCGGTGTCAAGTATGTGGTTTTGTCCGCAGCTATTGCCAAGTCCACGTTCCTCTTCCTTGCTCAGAATTAAGGGGGTAATTCTATTGAATACCCCTAATAGACTTGGAACAAAGACACTGAGCTTGGCCTAACAAAGCCCTCACTCCTCCCATTTAGCAGACATTCTCCACCAAAAGTCACACTCTTTGTCGGCCCATTTGTAGTCTTTGAGCGCGGCTGCGACCCCAATGCCAGTCCCCCCAGCACGCTCATCATTGCCCTCACCGAGCACCATTGTCAATCCTTTTCCCCCAGCCCAAGAAGTCCACTCCGGCCTATCCGAATATTTACCCTTCTTCATGGAATTAGGGTTGCCCTTGGTAATAAAGCTGACGCAATACGCATGGAAGTCACCCGAAACTTCATCTTGTGCTGGGGAAATCTCCCGTACTTCCTTATTGTAGGTTTGATATCGCATTTGATCACCATGGTTTGCACCAAATAGAGCGGTCTTGTTGAGGGCCCAGTGGTACAGAAAAACGGGCGGGTCAGCTTTGGAATGGGATGTGCCCCAAATTGCAGTCTGCCTTACGGGGCAGGTGTAGGCGTAATGTCCATATGCTGCCTCCATTCGCCTATATTGTGACCCAATGCCTTTGTTTCCACTCTTCTCAACGTAAGGTGAGTCTGAATTCGTGTTCGGATCGGGATATAGTTTCTCTAGCTCCGCGTATTCAGATTCTGATAGGTGAGGCAGGAGAGTTCGGAAGAAATTCGTAAAGTCAGAGGACATATTAGCAGTTCTTGGGACATAGAATGATCCCTCGTTGTGGGCGGAACCGGTAAGAATGGGTACTTTTTGCCATTTTCCGGACTTCCAAGCATCAAGTGGACGACGGGAGATGACATTTCCATCCATGACGGGCTGCCAGGCCCAGCGAACGGATGGATCAGACCTGTCGAAGACTTCTTTTCCAGCCAGATCAACAGTGTCAGAGGGCAGGCCTCGCAAACACGTCAGGATTTCCGGGTCCAAGAGGTCGGTAAAGTGAGAGCAAGGTGTAAGGTCTAGAAACTCGCGAAAATGCTGGCGATTGAGATTGGCTGATGGCAGATGCATCGCCCGCGCTGTGTGCGCACCACTATCCATGATAGCCTTGTGAAAAAGTCGCTTGGGCTGATTGATATCCATCACAAGGTGTCCAATACCATGAGCTGCAGCGCTAAGGCCCATGATGGTCACAACATCGGGATCACCACCAAACGCGGCGATATTCTCCTGCACCCACTCTAGAGCAGCGTACATATCCCGTAAACCGAGGTTAAGCAGTTTCTCCTTTGCAGTCAACTCCGTGTTCAAGCCTCCAAAGACACCGATACGGTATTGCATGCTGACTCCAATGAATGGCTCAGGCGAATGTGCCAACATACTATGTGTGTTATGCATACGAGCCGCGCCGCGATTGAAGGCACCACCTGGAATGAGCACGGCAACCGGGAGTTTACCCTTTGCAGGGGAATGATCCTTAGGCCGCCATATGTTAATGGTCAGACAATCCTCAGACTCAAAGTCTGGGCCAAGACCGTCGTCATCCAGAAAAGGCACCAACTGCTTGCCGGGACATCTATTTTGAGGGGATATTAGCTAAATGGAAAACCCCTCTGAAAATGACAAGTGCTGCGAGCTCACCTTGGTCCTAGATAGAAAGCTTTGAACGTTTCATTCCCTGAGGGAACAGGCACTGCTGGCCGAAATCTGAGATTATCTACAGGAGGCAATGCGTAAGGAATGCCCATGAAGCCTTCAAGAGGCTCTGGAAACGTTCCATCATCTACCATACGGCCAACGACTGTTCCTTGTCTGATTGTGACCACCGGGCGTCGTGGATGAGCCAGACTTGTAATGCCTTGTCGTACACCAGGCGCGTAGGCGATTAAAGACCCTAGCAGTACGGGTACGACAGCCAGCCATAACCAACTTGGGCCAGTGCGCTTCGGTGCATTGACACTCACTCCAGTTGTTGGTTTAGCCATCGTGATACCATTAGACGAATGTTTCAAATTCCATGTGTTCCCCTTACTCCGTCTTGCTTGATAGCTTAGGTGTTTCCACAACGACGTTTAAGAATTAAGACAAATTGCCGTCTTCGGACCATTGTGGTCTTCGTCCCCGCTTACTTTGGGCCGCGACTCAGGTACAATGGCGCCGTCGCTTTTCCCTATCGGCTCCGGGCCGCACCTCTAACGTAAGCGCTGTAGCTCGTAGTTATCTTTGCCCGCGGACAAGGTTGAGCTCCGCGGGAAGTCTTTAGATCTTCGGTACACAAATGAGAAGCCGACTGATTCTCGTCTCTTCTGATGGTAGAGAGAATTGATAATCTAGCTAAGAGGAATAATCAAGCAGCTATCAGAGATCAAGGCGTTGGATGCGCTGATACTTGCTTCGCGTGGCGCATCGGCCCCTTTTCGAGTGGATGACGTCAAAGGGGGCATCATGGGCAAAACAGCGCGTACCATGCGAAACCATTGCACAACAGAAATAGATCGCTGATGAATGGAATAGTCACCAAAAGTATCTATCTGTATATTGTATCTATAGTGATTTATTTGCTTATTAATATAAAGTAGAAACATGGTTTATAAGCCATGCTTCCCACTCATGTCGTCTGAGTACATTCTTTTACTCACACACCAGCCGACCCTTGACCTCTGACTAGACAGCCACTCGATAACTTTCACGTTCAACTGGACAGCATTATTATGATCCGGACCCGAATAGTTGGCTATTTGATATATCTAGGTCCCACTATCAGCGAGATAGCTCTTTAAATTGAGAGCTACTTCCTATCATCCTATCTAGTAGCTTGAGCTATACTAAAACATAGGTCAAATCTGCTAGATCAATCGCTCGATTCGACCTTATCCTTCACGGTCACTGTCTGGGAATCAGAAATATCCTCTTCATCCCGATTGCCGCTATTAGATGTGCCGATTGTCCGGATGACGAGCCACGCCGGAATCAGTGACAACCCCCACAGGCCAAAGTTCAGGTAAGTGCCACCAATACTGGCGAATATCGGGATGGAGCCAAGGCCATAACTGAGCGCTTGCCAAGCGGACTCGGTGCCTCTCAGGAGAGCTGAAAGTCGGATTGTTTCTTGTGAGCTGGAGGATAGCCGACCAATCAGGAAGAAGGCAAAGTTGTAGTTGAGCTGGAACCCTGCGACGAGGAAGATAAATACGCCGAAAGCACGACCAAAGCTTGGATCACTCCAGTCATAAGTTGGCTGGGTGCGGTTGAATTCAGTGACATTGATAGTCAACCAAATCCACCAAGCTCCCTGCAACGTCATGATGACTCCAAAGGCGTATCGCGCCCGTTTCTTCAAGTCAATTTCGTTCTGGTCGAGCCACAAACCGAGCAGGTTTCCTGCAATAACAGCTACAATTCCTGATATGAACGAACCCAAAGCCCTAGCTCGCACGCTGAACCAAAGGGCAATGTAGCTGAAGAAGACTGACTCGGAATAAACCCCCTGCCCAATCCAGAGGACGAGCAGAAGGAAATCTTTTCTAAGGAAGGTTCTCGTGGTTGATTTGAACTCTTGCCAAGGACGGTCGAGAATAGACAAATCAACAGGCTTGCCATCGGAGCGCTGGACCTTAGACGGACGATTGAGCAACAGAGCGACAAAGGGGCCCAGCGACTGAAGAGCTATGAAAATGAGGTAAACTTTGTATGAAACCTTCCCACTTTCATTCCGGTCTGCATTCAGGCCAAGGTTAATAGCGCCACCAAGAATTTGCCCAAGTCGCGTCCACGATAGCCAGTAAGCCACCAGCCTTCCCCTGTTCTTTGGCTCCGGATAGCCGATAGCGATAGCTGCCTCTGCAGCCCAGAAGATTCCGGCCGAGATACCGCAGCACGCAGCGCCGAAGAGGACAAGCCACTCAGTCCCGAAGCGGTTGTTCGTATAGAGGCCGGCACTATAAGGTGCATATCCAATGGTTCCGATGATTAGGGCGCCCTTGATGCCAACGTACTTGACGATACCGCTTGTGAACCAGCATGAGATAATCATCAGGCAGAACGTCAGGGCATTAGCTGCGTTGACAAGGTAGGGCTTCTGAGCACCGCCCGCACCCAGGGAGTTCATCGCGCCCCATAGCCCTGGGGCAGCGAAGCTGCAGATACCCAGGATGGTCGCATTATAAAAGGAAGAGCGATACCATTTAACTATAGAAGAACGAGTGAGTGGTTTGACTTCGCAATACAGAATTGGGGATTGAGAACTTACCGTGAACCTTCTCAGGCTCTTCACCCGTCGAGCCGGAGGCTGTGGTATTGTCTAATGCGGCCATATCTTGTCCCACCGCTCGGTGTAGTTTCGTGCACTGATTGTTAAAGCAGACGGCAGAAAGAGTTTTAATCTGTCGTCGCAGGCGACCTTTAAGACAGCTTGATAACATCGATGGCCACGTGTATGTGTGAATGACACCACATAGCCCTTGCAATTCGGAATCCCTCTAAATATGCTAGCGCCTGCATCGGCAGTTGAAGATTAAGTCAGGCACCGTTCCAGATCGTCGGGATACGGCAAGTGCCGGGCATTGCTCTAGTGTCTTGCGATCAAAGCTGCATTTGTATTGAACAGCTTGCCTCGATCTCTGCCATTCGGCTCTTTACGTGAATCTCTGATTCACCCAAACGAGAAATATGAAGGCAGTAGTTTGGTAAGATGCTGAGGGTCCCCTGGTCTTGGCGTCCTGGCGCGGTTGCGTGATCAACCACTTCGAAGTCGTTATCGCCCCGTTTTGTGAGCACCACCAATACCTGGAATACTCTATGCATGTAATAGAAGTCCACGGGCGCATAGGCTAGAACAGAATATGGAATGTCCTCCGATCTATGCGCTAATTTCCTAGCTAGTTACTTGTTACAATATCTGGACTCGCTCATTTGAAAGAGTGCCCTCCGAAGATGTCGGTCGTGTCACTTGTGTTACATTGGAGGTCGCCATGATCGCTAGGAGAGGTGAGAACTTTAACTATTCTTTTTAGTAGATTCAATCAAACGTGGTACAAAGGTTGGATTTCTTTTCTATATCTGACCTGATTACATCCTTAACATGTCTTATGCAACAGAGGTGTCTTAGCCATTCTATTTCAAGTCTTTAGCTCTATGCAGCGGACCATTTGAATTGGGAACCGGGATGGTCGGCCGTCAATCTACCCCCTTTTGCAACATCCTCGCCTAAGAATATTTCTCGTGTAGTCTTACCTTCTGCGGCAGCTGGATCCCAAAAGATACCTCGTGCCTTCAGTTCCGGCACAAGGTATTTAGCATGATCATCTAAGTCTCCGGGGATGATGGCATATGAAAGATTGAACCCATCAACGTCCGCCTCTTCAACCCACGTCTCGAGAATGTCCGCTACTGTCTTAGCAGAACCTACCGCGCGAGCATGTGCACCTCCAAATGCGAGCTCTTGAGCGACCCTTGCTTTTGTCCACTTGATAGTGCCACTTCCGGGAATGGTCTTACTCCAGTTCTCCACCATACTTTGCATTGCAGGGGGTCCAGTGAATTTGAGATCCGCATCGTCGGGGATCCCTGCAAGATTAGTTCCACTCCAACCGCCGAATAGAGCGAGCGTCCCTTCTAGGTCGGCATACGAAATGTATTCTTCATACTTTCTCTGAGCCAGCTCGTCGGTCTCAGCTAGCACGACATGAAGGCCAGCGACGAGCTTCAAACTTTGAGGATCGCGGCCTTGTTCTCGCGCCGAAGTACGAATTTCCTCCACTAGCCTCCGAACTATCTTTAAGTCCATGCCGGGTAGGAACATGGCCTCGGCGTGTTTTGATGCGAAAGCTTTGCCTGCTTTACTTGCGCCCGCTTGGAAGATGAATGGCGTCCTCTGTCTGGAGGGTTCAACAATGTGCGGACCAGCCACCTGGTAGTGTTTCCTTACTTCCATTTAGCGGTAGGCACAAAAGAAGTCAATTATGGTTCAACTAGCTTACCCTTCATGGTTGATTCGCCTAACACGTTCGGGGTGCGTATACTGATGTTTAAATTCGTCCAAAACTACGGCATCGTCACGCCAGGAGCCCTCAAGTAGCTTATAAAAAACTTCAAGGAACTCATCAGCCATTGCATAGCGTTCGTCATGAGGAATCTGGTCAACAAGACCAAAGTTCCTCGCGGCACTCTCAAGATAGCTGGTCACAATATTCCAGGCTATGCGTCCATTTGTGAGATGATCTAAAGTGCCGAACCTGCGGGCTAGCATAAAAGGTGTCTCATACGTGGTGGAGGCAGTAATTCCGAATGAAAGGGTCTTTGTCACCGCTGCCATTGCTGATATCGGCAGACTAAAGATCATGTATGTCAGATACTTGATTTCATCGCGATCTGTAGAAGTGCGGATGATCTTACAAGGGGTCCGAGACAGGGAATTGTGCTGCGCCAGCCAACACTGGCTCAAAGTTTCTTGGACCTTTGTACACATCATATGCGCCAAGCACATCTGCTAGAAATATGGAGTGGAAATTCCCCTCAAGCAGCTTAGCTACTTCAATCCAGTAAGACAGGTCATTGTAGCGACGAGTTTGGTTGCGTGGATGTCTCCAAATACCTAATTAAATCAGTAATTCTGCCAGAGGTGAAGCTGCAGTTTCAATTATTAAGCAACCTATCTTACCAGGTGCTACAAATGCAGGCTGATTCATGAAGAATGCATTCAGTATCAGCTTTTTGCCTGCCTTTTCAGGCTCTATGATGTCTACCATTGTGATACCGTGTATAGACCCGGACAAGACTAGTAGAACTTCTATAGTTCAATCTTCTTGTCAATTGCATCAATGGCAAACCGTTTCAATAGGAACCTATATAAATAAAGCATCTCATTTTCACGTCTCTACGGGTTGCCTGCGTCATGTTAATTCTGAAATGTGGCGTTCGCTGAGCCAAGCAGCCTTGCGTCTCCACACTAAGATCTAGAATACGGAGGACATTGCCACATTCAGTAAAGTCAAAAATCACGACATCTCGGTCGCAAAGGCGCCACCTATAATCTCAATTCGAGGTTCATCTTCAGTTCAATGACCAAAGACACAAACTCCGTCTTTCTTCGACGGTAACCGACGGTCAGAATAAGGAGTGATGTAGAGAATCCTCCGATCGAAATGGCAGGCATTAAATACATTACGAATGCTTCCAGCTAGAGCGCGCTAAAGAACTCGACCTTTACAAGGTTGAGATGTCGCCTATATCATTTCACATTGTGTCATTTATCAAGATTAGTCTGTCATTTGTTAAAAAAAAATTGTCAGTATGATTCAGGAAGTTAGAGCCCAAAAACTCGTGCTCTACGAACGGAAAAGTCTGTTTTCAATGAAAACAGTTAGACAAAACGTGTACCCCGTGTTTCCCGCAATGCCTCTTTTCTGTTAAGTGGAGGAGCAAATAGGACTTGGTAGCGATGCATTCTGAAAAATATTCTGTCATAGATATTGTTTAAGTTCTTGTTTGCGAGATGTGGAAAGGTCAAACGTTTACGAAAACCCTCCATGCAACGCACAAATTCTGTACAGGCGGTTGTCATACTTGACGTATTATCAAAAATTTTGGGAACTATTTAGTAGACGACGACGCTTGTTGCTATCCTACTACCGTTCAAGAAACAGCTTTCCATGGCGGTCATCTTGCACTCGTGCTGATCTTAGACTATCAGACATAGAGCCAAATTCCATTCCGGCATCGAAAGAATTAGATAGTTGGTCTTTGCTCGCACGTTTGACCATTAGACATGATATGTCGAGCATGTCAATTGGACTTCTGGCTTAAGTTCATGTCGACTATCGAACACCACCAAACTCAAATCCGATTAATTGTTGCTTATAATGGTGTCCATGGTCGGCAGCGTGAATTCAAAACTTCGTTACTTAATATTTACGCTTATGTCTGTTTTTTTACCAGGAAATAAAAGAATGACCGAGGCTCAATAAGCTAAGATCACATATGCAGTGCATCTTACGATGCTTATCAAAGGTGGAGATGATATGGCCCGGTTTTGAGTCTTAATCCAGATTTAGTATGACCATATCTTGAATTATGAATTCAATTGAAGCAGCCCTGGACATATCTTAAGCCCCGAACAGCCGGTGTACTGACTACAAACCACCGGAGCTAGTTTAAAATTGCAGTTCAATGCCAATTAAATAATTGGAAGGCTTGAACAAGACGAAGAAGCATTATTAATTCCTTGCTTGTGTGTTCGTCATATTATTTCGACTTTAAGGCATCTCAGGATTTGGCCGCGGAAAACTTGCCTGCCACTTGCCCGCGCTAAAACTCGCCGCGCCCAACCAGGGGGGCGAGTATCACTTTTACAACATTGACGATAGTTCTAGGGAGAGTGTATTGTCACAGAATTGAACAAGCATATAGTCAACATAATATAATGTTTATTTAAACTGTGGCCTATTGTGTTTCGTCTAATTAATTCACTGAGATTCTTTCAAGCGGTTAGAATGGCGATGAATGGCGATCTATCGTTCTGGTCCAAGGCCGACAAATACTTGATGACCACGGGGGTCCCTTTCTCCCCAGTCGTGGTCACAAAAGCTAAGGGAACACGACTTTATGATGGCAAAGGTCGGCAGATTCTTGATTTCACCTCGGGTCAGATGAGTTCGCTTCTCGGCCATTCACACCCAGAGATTGTCGAAGTCATCAAGAAATATGCCGAAGATCTGGATCATCTACTCAGCAACATGATTACCCAACCTGTAGTCGATCTCGCTGAGCGACTTGCACGCTTCCTGCCCGCACCACTAGAGAAATCTTTCTTTCTCAACACAGGCTCTGAAACGACCGAAGCAGCAATCAAAATGGCTAAATGTTACACGGGAAAGTTCGAGATTGTTGCCTTCTCAGCGAGTTATCATGGCTTGACGCAGGGTTCAGGCTCTGCCACGTACTCGGCAGGTCGAAAGAATGGAGGTCCTATGATGCCCGGTCAACTTGTATTTCCAGCTCCATATCCTTACAGATCTCCTTTCAGAAAGTCGGACGGGTCCTACGATTGGGAAACAGAACTTGACTATGCTTGGTCAATGATCGATAGGCAAAGCGTCGGATCTCTCGCAGCGTTCATCATGGAGCCTATTCTCTCAACTGGTGGTATTTTAGTTCCACCGAAAGGTTATCTCAAGCGAATGAGTGAGGAATGTAAAAAGCGTGGCATGTTGATTATTATGGATGAAGCACAAACTGGAGTTGGACGCACTGGTCAGATGTTTGCATTCGAAGATGACGGTGTCGTCCCGGACATTCTGGCCCTCTCGAAGACCCT